GTTAAAATTATCTTCAAAAAAATGCATCATAATTTCACCATTGAGCAAACTGCCTTGAACAACAGAATTCCCCAATTTAGATTTAATGTTTTCTTCTGTGTGAGTTTAACTTCAGACTCTGCTACTGTTATACCTTTAGTGAAACAAAATATGTAATACTAGAGAGTATCAAGCTAAGAATTTCCAAAGAAAAGGGGAAAAACTGCTAATGCTCTTTCAATCATCATCCATTTTACTACATGATAATTTTTCTTAAGTTCAGTATTTTAACTATACATGTTTATATTCAAGCATGTGCTTTCTTATATTAGGATTTTATAAACCCCTCATAGTTTACTGGATTAACTATAATAAGACTAACAAAGGATTGGAATTGAAAGTAGGTAGTTCTGATGAAATCCTCCACAAGTTTGTAAATGGCTAGTCTGGAAAACAGTTGTCTCTCACCATAAGAGTTTACTTGAGGTAAAACGAAAAAATGTCCTTTATATTTGGGTTATCCATTAGTTTGTCAGACTGATGATACCACAAAAAATAAGGATAATACACTTGCAAGTGGAGGAATGTCTTACGTCTGTGATTACGGAAGACAATTTTAAGTTTTGAACAGAACATCATGCTATGATTTATTCATTTTTTTATTCTTGATATGTGCCATCATGGTACCTTTGCAATTCAAGAGATAAGAAATCCTATTTACTCTTGTTCTGATTAAATAGAATCTTGATTATGTGCAAGTTTTTCAGAAAGAGCTTATGCAATAGGTGTCTTATAATGATTTGAATGTTATCTAGAGGTTAGTTAGCAAATTATAGCTCTGATGGCTAACCATCTGCACTTGTGCTTTTGTAGATAACTGCAGCTTTTAGTAGACCTTCACTTGGTGGGCAGGAGGTTAATCAAATAGTTTCAGTGGCAAGACCAGGGCCTACATTTTTTTACACCAAAAATAATAAATAAATGGTATAGCTGCAAAGTTATCTTAATTAAAATAATTCAATTATTTTATTCCTACACAAACTTTTATGAGCCATTAAGTGGTAACATCTTTCTTATCAGTGCAATAAAAATTATAATCAGACCACACTTGCAAAGTAAGAAATTGTCAAAGCATTTGAAATCTCTGTTGCTGTGCATTATCCGGTGTAAGAGGGTGTTGGGATACTGAAAGTGACAGAAAAAAGCAGTAAAATTACTGTAAGATGCCCTGCCGAGGCACCCAGAAGTCTGCATGCAGAGACTGAGTGGGTCAGCAGTGTTTGGTGTGTAGCCCTAGTGTATCTGCCAAGGCAGCTCGTGTCTCTGAACTGCGCTTCCCACGGCTCTGGCCTCTCTGAGGGCTCGCTGGCCTGATCCAGCACTTAACTCTGAACTGGGTCAGTGAACAGTGCTTACCCTGGGCTAATAAGTCCTCTCAATTTGGAGGTTGGCAAGCACAGTGCAGAGACATCCAAGAGCTTCATTTGGATTGAAAAGGTAGGAAAAGTTTGGCACTTCCAGCTGAACACAAGCTATAATCCATGTGCTCAGGTATGTCCATGTGACATTTCCTCTTGATCCAGATTCCCAAAGGCTTGTGAGATCAGCTTCACAACTTTGCATGAAGGAAGCTTGGATCCAGGGTTTTTCCCAAACTCACCAGCTCTAAACTGGCTTTGCATAACACTGGCTCAGATCTACAGGTTGTGGGCTGAAACTAGAAGCCCTTACAGTTGCATTTCCCCAACAGCGTGCCTATACTAGTATATCCAGCCTGACCTTTGATTGTTTTACACAGGGACACCTTCAATGTCTCTACAACCATACATAGTTAACCTACAACACAGCTAAATTGCCGACAGAAAGTTGAGGAGTGATTGTACGTGCGTTAAAATATTTTGTCGATCTCCTCATATATCTATGTAATGCCAGAAAACACTTCAGACTTGCTGGTTAATACTTTTGTCAGACAAATCCTTTCACATTAATCTTTAGCATAAGAAGCAAGGTGTAATTACATCTCTTTTTCTGGTTTTTTTTTTTTTAAAACACTGATCTTTTAACAGAATGTGCTCTTAAGACTGATGTTTTCAAGTAAGAGTTGGAGTTTCTGATATGCCTCTCAAATAGTTTGCTTCATGGTGTGGCTTCGTTACCTTTCAGTGGTACATAAGGGTGCCCATATGAGTGGTTATAAACACGCTAGGTCATTTGCTTGTTTATTAGTGCATTCATACTCGTACCATTTATATCCAGAAAAGAGTAATGCTAGTTACTCTTTGATTAAGGATGAGGTATCATTATGCAAATTAATAAGTTTAAGAATTACCCAAGGCTTGTTTCTGTACATGAAACTTAGAACCTCAATCAAACCATACAGAAAAGCTGTGCGAGAAAATGCATTTGAAGTAAAATGCTATTTAGATGCTGATTGATTTTATTGAATACTGTATAAATACTGTATTTTATTGAATATTGGTCAGCCCTGAAGTGGTCAGGCAGTTGGACTAGATCCTTGTAGGTCCCTTCCAAGTGAAATACTCTATTCATGGCTTGCTTTGTTGCCAGCCGTCATGACTACAGTGTTTGTATATTTTTTTCTTTATATGCGATTTCTTGTGAGTAACCAAAACGATTCCTGATGCCATGCCTAATGCCTTCTAGATGTCTTGGTACCAGCTATGGGGATATTCCAAAATTACTGTAATACTGACGTATTGCTTATGTTGGACTACACCTTGTAGACCAAGCGTTAATTCTACAGGGTGATGATTGCTAACTGATGTAGGCAGTTCCTTCTTAAACGTGAAGATTATTAGCATGGCACATTAGTTCCTTCTGAAACATTTTTTAATAGGATAGCAACAAGTAAAAGCTAAAATTATCTTTGGAGGTCTTCCTTGTAATTTTAGTATGTGAAGAAGCTTCTGTGGCTGAGAGTCCCAAAAACAATCTCGTAGCAAGTTGAAAATGTAATTATTGATCCTTGTCGCTTCTCAGGTGCTGTCCCTTTATATTCTGAGCCTGTCCCATATGGAATGGAATTCAGTGACTTGACACTGTGCTTTACCACCTTATTTTTGATAAATCTCACACGTTTGTGAGGAATTACATTTTAGTACCAAGCAGACATGCTAGCATATGTTAGGGCTTTTTTGTTTCTGATTCATGATCATGAAGGATGTGTCTTGGGAAGTTCAAAAACTAGAAGGCAAAGAGGAGAATTAAGATTTGATTTTTTTAAAAGAAATACTGTAAATTTTTAAGTAAATAATTTTTTAAGACCTTGGGGTCTCATCCATAGTATTTGATTTTGGATTTATTTTTTGATGCCTAATTTTTGTCAATAATGCATGCCATCTGTGAATTTCACCGTGAAGTAATGGAAACCAGGGTGAAGCATTCACTCCCTGAAGAGCTGTATCACAGCTACAGTTTTTATTGCAATGTCTGGTTTTAAGAGAAGTGTCATCTGCTTAATCTTTGTCTAAGAAACAATGTTCTTAGCTTAATTGCTCACATTTTTTTCCGTCCCTCTTATAATTTTTTCTTGCTGGACAGATTGGCCTGCTTTTATGTTAAGATTTCCCATCACTTACAAAATCATGTGGGACAGAGGATTTTTAACATAAGAGTTGCCCTTTCTATTTGACCTTTCCAAAGAAATTCGTAACAATTCACCTGATCCTCACCAAGTTCAAACCAGAATTCCTGGAGTCAGTATTTTGACCTGGGGTAATACTGCTGCATTCTGCCACTGTTTTTATGATAGCAGGGGAAAAAAAAAAAATCACATCTTTTTTCTATCAGACTTTGTTCATGTTGACATTTCTCCCTTAAAATAATGAATGAGCCCTTTTTTTTTATAATATATATGAAGGGTCACTATCAACAGAGAAATTGTACATACCACTACCTGGTAAAGTAGAAGTAGATACTAATTGTTTACGGGAGATTTTGTTACAAAGAGGTTTGTTACCTGTAAATCATAAGTAATCTGTCTAGTAATTGGGTATATTCTAATGTCCTTTTCTTTTGGTATTATTTATATTATATTTATAGGTGCCCTGTAGAGTTCTATCTCTAGCAGTTAGTTTGGTTTCCTATGAAATTTCTGGATTAACTCCAGCCAGCAAACTTCTGAGCACTTCTCTGCCATTTGTTAAACAGTAAACTTTAAAGCTGTTCTTAATGTTATTAATGAAGAGTTAGCTAAGCATCATGTACTAAGATGCAAATTTGGAAATTTCTTAATAGGGCAACAGATGATCTCAGCAAGGCTCCCACTGTGGCTGTAATCCCAGTGAAAGTTCTGCAGAACTTGCTGCTTTCCCAGCCACAGGCTTAGGATGTCGTAGACATGAGAACCACATAATCATCCCTTGTGTAGGATTGGCATCCTCTCGTGCCCCTGTGCGAGTAACGAATTTAGGGGTTAACTGGTGCAGTAAGCCGTATGTAGAAATTTGTTAACTCTAGCCTATTGATTTTCCAAGGACTACATTGCCAGTATTCAGCCAGAAGTTTTACATTTTCCTTATACTGCTTATGCTCCCTCCAGGTTCTCTAAAATGTCTTCCAAAGATACTTGAAAATAGTTTCTCAAAAGTTCCATGGCATTTTCACATCCTGTTATGTCTTTAGTTAATCTTCCCCTTTACTGCTGATTCCACAACTGTTAATTTTCCTGTGTGTTTTCCCAGATGAGATGGCCTATCGTCTTCTCTTAGAGTAGGTCGATAAAACATTCTAACTTGGATGCTAAGGATGAGTACAAGATGCCTATCAAAGTACTTTCCTTTTCTCAGTTAATCTGAAACAGTCCAGGATGGAATGCTGAGAATTTAGATTTTTCATTGCTTGCCACGTTTCTGTAGAAGTATTAAAACTAAAGACACTGCAACATAAATCGGGTTTTTTGGGGGGTTGGATTAAATGGGAAAAAAATAAAATTACTGAATAAAAGCCCATTTTTTAAAGACACCTTAACTTAAAGACATCTTTCTTTTTTTTGTTTCCAGCAAAGAGATCCTTCTTCAAGATTAAGATCTTGCAGCGTAACAGACACAGTTGCTGAACAGTCTCAATTATCCTTGGTAAACCAAAGCTAACTTCTATTTCTTTCCTTTCGTTTCAACATTCTCTGATTCTGAATAATATCTTTTCTTAGGTCAGTTCTGGTCAGATATAAATCAGTAACCGGTACAGGCATATGACTATCCCAAATAGTAATGGATACCAAATTAATATCATCATGGTCAGCAACTAAAATGAGGACATTCATGAGAGGGAACAATGTTTTGAGACTGAGAGCATAGTCACACTAACTTTAGTTATCTAGCATAGAAATTTAGTTTACTAAACTGTAGCTATATAGTCAGTGGAGACAGAAAATCCTCCAAGGGGTGTTTTCAGCTGGGGTAGGAGAAGGCAGCAGCACCATCTGCACTTGGAACTGTAGCAGCCACAGGACTCTGCTATCAGGTATATTTTTGTGTCCTGTAAATTGATTTTACTTGGAATATATAAATCTGTATAACATTAAAAAAGATTGGTGTTTTACCTAGTTGTAGTTAAAAGGAGCCTTTTTGTGATAGTCCTTGTACGATAGAACCCAATAGAATTGCATCTGTTGTAGTTTTTTAATCTGAGTGATTTAGGTAAGTAGCTTCTGCAATTTTATTTAAGTAGATTCTTCAAACAGGAAAAGATACAAAGATGTTTTTTTAAAAAAGATTCTCTTTCACATCATAACCATGCACACTTTTGATCTAATTGATAGAAAGTTCTATGTATTTTGTCCCACAACCCAAGTATGAGGATTGCAAAGGTGGTAAGCTATAGAGAGACTACTTAGATTGTGCAAGATACGCTTTTGAACAAAACTGTTCAGATTTTCAAAATAATTTAATATTTTAAAAAACAGAACTTTTCTTCCAGGAATTTTTTTCCAGTTTTTTATTAGAAATATATTACATATGAATCTACAAATAGCAAATTTGTTTATCTTCTTTATGGAAATATTGAGTAAATAGAGTATATCAATAAGTTTGTTATTAAAGCTGATGTCTCTCCTTTGCTTGTTCTTTCTGTTGCTATTGGGCAGACATTTGCAATAACCATAGTGTTTTTCTCCTTGTTTAATTTAACATGTTCTAGAAGTTGTTTAGTTTATTACATTTGCTGCTTACAGATGCATGTAATAGCTATTGTTCAAAGAACTGCTTCTGAAGTATTATCTGCCTCTTTACTTTCTCTTCTGGGTAAACAATGGTGTGGTTTCCAGTACAATTACACCTTAATTGTCTTCTCTCTCCACTAGACAAAGTTGTCTCCTAATGCAGTCTGTTCCAGAGGTGTTCTGCTTCTGTATTTAATATCACTTTATGGAGTCTGGGTTTCTTTAACTGGTGTAGTCAGATTGGGATTGGTGATACGTCTTTCACTTTACTATTGTAGAACACTCATTTCATTTGCAGATGTTCAAAACAGCGGAATTGAAAGCATTGCTCTAAAACAAGGCTGCTACCTGATCTTAACCATATTTAATCTTACTAAGCTAATAATAATTTATCTTCTAGCAACTAAATATGTACTTACTTTCTAAATACAGTGCTGTTCTTGACTGTATTAATCCTTACTGAAAATTCAAAGTACCAGTTCCATCTTTTTCATCTGACTTTTTCTGTGCACTCATTGATGACCAGAATGTATCCATTTCGGTTTTAAATACCATGTTTATGGGCAGAACATGCAAAATTTGTTTGGGGGGGGAAAAAAAGAAGATCATGTTACATTTGGAGTGAATGTTCTTATTATTATCGTTAGCAATACTGAACATATAGAACTGGATACAAGAACTCACATATAGAACTGGATACAAGAACTCTTGAAATTAGTTCCCTTGGTGGTTTTTGTATGAGATTCTGACTTGGTTATCAGTGATTGATGACTCAGGTTTTTTGCTATTATCTTAAACATTATTTCCATCTAATTGCTCTCTTTTAATAAATTTGAGTGTCTGTGATTCCTTACTCCTAAAGATGTGACAGTAATCTGTGACCTTCATCACTAAATATACTTATCTTTAACATTAATTATCATTTAACAGCAGAGTGGTCCATCTAGGAGAGCTCGTTCTTCAACTGTCACAGGTGGTGAGGATCCAACGGTAATAATACTCTTTATCAAGCACTATCTCTAAATAAAATGTGGGTAGATTTAGGTCTTGTAAAGCACGGAACTTTTTTTCACAGAGCAGCAGTGTGTTGAATGAAACACAGCCACTGAATCAATAGTTATTTCTTCTTGTTGTTGTTTCAAATTTTCTCAAAATTTCTCAAAACACTGCAATTTCACCCAAATACTAGCATGTTTTTATGATGTGGATATGCCACTGCGTTTTAACAAATCTGTGCAGTAAGGAAATACCACAGGCTTCTGAAAAATGAAAGATATAATACGTAATTCTTTAAAAACTGTCTATTGAAAGAATCAGAGATTAGAGACATCAAATCAGTATACATGTAGCTGTGTTTTTAGCTTGCTTCTATCTTCCCTTATTCTCCGTTAGACTAAGTCATTTTAATTCTTAAAGCTGATCTTAATTTGAGAACCGTGAAGGTACAGTGATATATCATATAGCTCTTAATGGTCTTATTTAATGCCAGTTTTCATTTTCCAGTAGTTGTTCAGCAGTCCAAGGCTGAATTTTTATTTTGATTGTTCAATAAAATTCTGGAAGTGCTTTTCTGGAAGTGTAGTACAAGGAAAGTGGTTTTCATTTATATTGGACTTTGTCAAAAACATCCCATTCTTTTTTAACCTGATTAAATGTCAGTCTGAAGCAAGTTATTTCATAGAAATCATTTTAGTAACTATCATAAATAGCTTTTACGAATATATGCACTCTTAGATAATTTGTTTCAGGGAAAGAAATATGATTTAGATTTGATATGTTTCCTATTTGTATGTGGTAATGTCAGGTCTTAATTTGGGTGTTGATGCATCATTCTGTAATATTGTATATATTTATTGCTTTTTGAATTTTAGAATCAGAGGAGCATACTTTTATTTTGTTCCTGCAAATAGCAAATTTTTTTGTGTCCTTGCAAAACCTGCTTGACTTCTTAATCATTGGTTAAAATGCATGCTATATTGAACTGTAATGTAAAGGTCTTTTGTTGGCAGAGCATCTTGTCTTGATTATACTTCTTAGAGCAAAATATTAATATTTTTCTGCAAATAACTGAGTTCAAACTTCACTGACTCATAATTAATACAGCTATATCAAAGATGTTTTATCTAATTATATTGTAGCTTACCAATGGGACCCTACCCCCCAACTTCGTCTTCATTCAGGGTGCATTTATACTCTGAAATCCAAATCTGCGGAGGACTTGGGACTTAAAGAGGATTCATGCATTTAAATCCAAAAGCATCATCTTCAAAGGTTGCCATTCTCTTTGTCCTTTAGGCACCTAAAGTTTCTAGACATACAATCTGTCAATAGTAGAAGTTTCTAAGTCACTTTAGTTCTGCTTTCAGAATCCCTGTAAAACCCCTCATTGGCCTGGGACCCACAAATTAGACATTCTTCAGCCTCAGTCCCTAAAGAAGCATGGCACAGGGTTGGACTGCACAAAACTGCGATGCTGTGGCATCTTAAGAAGTGATGATGCCCCTTTTTATAACTGGCTTAGTTGAGTTACTTAAGTGCAACAAGCACAGAGTTTCGTGCCTTCCTACATATGAGATGATTTCAATCCACATGGCTCTTTCAGGAATAGAATCATAGAATCATTAAGGTTGGAAAAGACCTCTAAGATCATCGAGTCCAACCATCAACTCAACACCACCATGCCTACTAAACCATATCCCTAATAGTCCCAGTGCAGGACTGTCTTTCCTCTTGAATCTGTTTTACAATGAGAATGGAAGACGTGTTGCGCTGGCGAGGGAGCGATAACCACGCTTGGCTCTTTAGCCTGATGACCAATGCACTCGGCGAGTTGAGCCTCTTCAGGAACAGCAGTTAAACCCAAGAGGGGCAATCCTGATTGATTGCTCTAATTGCTGTTGTTTTGTGTGAGAGTTGATACTACTGTCGTGGCAGTTACTGTCTGTTTTAGAGCATGACTGAAGTAGGAAAAACTCTGTGTTGATTTGTGGTTTGTCTTAGCAAAGACAAACCTCAGGGGCCTGAGGAGGCTATCAAAGGGCATATTCATGCAAACTAACATTACCTGATTTCTTTCCCCCCCTGTGGGTCCAAGTCTAAGCATTTAGGTAGCTCATAAGAAATAGATACGCTGAATATTATGTATAACTGTAAAAATGTTACATCTGGCGTAGATATAGCATGGCTGACTTTTTATGTTGTCAGTGACAGAAGATGAGTAAATTTGTTACTTGAGTGTGTGCAGTGAAGTAGGTGTTGATGATTGTAGATAAAGTGCATGTTTGGGTAAATATATCTGTGGTTATTAACCACTTTGCTTTTCAGGATTTATATATTTTTTTAAAGTCCCCGAGGTCCTTTACCATTTCTCTGTGAAGGCTACATTGTAAAACTAGGCTAAGCAAAACATAAGTTAATGCATCATGTGTCCCTCTATTCTCGTGACATTTTGTCCTTAACCATAATACTTCCCCCCCCATTTATTGAAGACAGTTGTTAAAAAGTGTTCAGTTTTCGGGAAAAATGCTCTTGATAAGTCTCCCAAGTTTCTACTCTATGTGGTAGAATATCTTTTACACTGGTATCTAACATATGGAAAGGAGGTTGAAGGGCAATCTCAGTTTTGCAGATTGCATTATGGGTTGCATTAACCCACAATGAATAGTAAGGAAAAAGGCTGCTGATAGCTGAATTTATTTTGATAGAGCGTTAAAGAGAAAGGAAAGATCAGGTGGCGTAACTAGAGCATCTTTCTTGTGTTTCTGTATCCGCGCAGTCAAAGTTGATAATTTGCAGCATGCCATCATATAGTGAATAGATTGCGTATTATTACAACTAAATGATTCAATTTTTTATTTTAAAATCTCTGAATTATCCACACCTTATGTTTACTCTGTACTGTAGACAATATTAATAGCCTGAATAAAGCAAATATGTAAGAATGTGTAGCAGTCATCCAGTGGTCCAGAAAATCTGTGAATAACTGTCAGCCCTCTCAATTGCTCCCAGACTAATCAGTTACCTTAATTATCTAATTTTTAACTCAAACATCGTCTGTGGACTGTTTTCAGGCCGCTTACTGTGGCCTTATTGACCACTGATTAATGGTTTGGAAACCAGTAGAACAGTCTTGGAAGAGGAAATCTCCTTATCATTGCCTGCCAGCTCTGTGAACTAAGACGAGTGGAAAAATAGCATAGTCTTTCCAGCACTTGACTGTTTAGGAAAGAGATAAATCGGAGTCTCATAGTTTGTTTCAGTGGGTATTACTTAGTTTCCTCATCTGTTTTCCTCTGTTTTCTATTTCCTATTTTGTATGTCAACTTTCTGACCCATTCAATATCTTTTCTCACTACCTTTGTTGATTATCTAGGCAGTTCTGCAGTTTATTGTGTCAACTATGCTCTTCTCTTAAAAAGCAAATATACTGACTTAAGCAAGAGTCCTGGGAAAGAGGTCTTAAGAATATGAAGCAAGGCAAGAAGACAAGAATTACAGTTTATTACTTTGCTGTAGCAAATAATGCAGAGTGTAGAAAAAGAATGTATCCTCAATTTCAACAGGAGCCTTCAGAAGCCTAAAGAGAGTTATCAAATTCTACTGTGTAATGTAATTCACGTCTTCCATCTTTGGGTAGTAATTTCCCACTGTATACGTATTTTTAAATGGAGTGATCATAAAACTCAAATCACTGTTTGTAAGGACGTGGAAAGAGTAACTTTTTTGCTTGCTTTGTGGTTAGTGTGGTGAATAAAGCTAAAGATCTAGAGACACAGTCAGCTATCCAAGTAGCCTTAGTTGTAGCTTAATACTTCTCAGGCTCTTGTGAGTCTGCATAGTAACTGAAAGCATGGACAGTATATACTTTAGGAAAAGAAAATGTATTTTGTAGTAAGATGTAGAATACTTGCACTGAGGAATCTAAGTAGTAAAATAAGGAAAAACAGTGAAACTCTTAGAGTTTAAGATATTTATGAATGGATTGCAGATATTGATCGGGAAACTGGAATCATACTTAGCCATCTAAGTTTTACTAATTAATTTTGCATTCATCCTATTCATCCTACCTATGCTGTAAGTGATTATAGGTTTTTCTTTTACTGTCAGCCATAATGCATTTGCTAATGATTTTTTTTTTAAATCTGGCAAAAAAAGATTTCCATTAAATTAATATAAATTCAATATAATTAAAAATCTGTTTATGATATTTCTCACATGACTTTAAATTTCAGTCCTTTTAAGCTTTTACTACTTTTCCTTTTACTGTTAAAGTATCGTTTATTATAGATAGCCATGACAGATAAGAGGAAGAACATACCCTGAATTCCCAGGAGACCAATCTCAATGTCTCTTTAAATGTTCAGGGCAGTAGCATGGTAAGGTAGGAATAACACTTTTTCATAATGTGTTGGATTTTTAGTTTAATTACAAGGATTAGAAATTTTTATGTTAAATATACTTAGCTTTTTTCCATCAGAAGAATGGTCATCACTGCAGTCGTTACTTTACCAGGAAGACTCCTTTCTAAAACTAGAAAGCTTCACCATTGGTTTCTAACCTATGTTGAAGGTATTTGATAATTTTCAAGGCCGATCTTCCCTTGGTTTTATTTTAAGATCATACTAAAAAAGTTTAAAGAGTCTTCCTTAAACATCTTTAATCTCTTACTCATGTGCACTGCTTTGTATTCCAACATTCATTCCAAGCGCTCACAGAATTCAGTTTGCATTCACCTAGTGAGAATTTAAGAGCTCAGAGCCATATATGAATGTTAATACTTTGTAGGACTGAGTCTTCAGTCTTTCATCTTTGCCAAAATCATTTGCCTGTAGAGCTGATCTTCTGCCTGCAGTTAGGCTGCTTGTATATTAATCAGCCCTGAAATAGAGGCTGTGTTTCTGATGGTCATATCAGATATGGGCAAAATACTCAAAAAAGGAAGAGGCACCTTTGCTTACTCTAAGTTGTTGATACCATTACTGTGATGCATATATGTCTCTGCCTACAGTGGTTTGACTCAGGCTCCCAAAGACTGGATGAAAGAAAACCCTGTATCTACCCCTAGTTCGTTGGCTTACTCATTCACTTGATGTGAGGCTGAGACGTACTACTCTTTCCAGAGTTTGTGCTAGTGATCAACTCTTCCCAGCAAATATTTTATACATCTAATAAAAATACCGGGATTGATGCTAAATCATACTGTTACTGTGTAGTGCTGTATTTCTGTTAACCTCCAAATTTGAAGTTGTCTCTCAGTAGTTAAAGTGACTCCTCTTATTAACAAAATGAGCAAAGACTGCATATGAAGTGACAACAAAATATCTAACGTTGTGCACAAAACTTCAGTCTGTATGCTCTGTTTCTCCTTTATCTAGCACAGCAGCACATCTTCTCCCTGAGATGCCCTGAAATTGCAGAAGTGAAAATGATACACCTTCATGTTTGATACAGGGTAACGTGTTTTCTGTGGAAGGACAGAATGAATGGAAGTATGACTATAAATGAGAATTCTTTCCATTTTGGGCTTACCGCCTAAAAAGGGGTTTTTGGTGTTGGTTTGTTGGTTTTTTTTTTTAAATGTAAAGAATACTATTGTCTGAAATAAAGACATGCCTTTGACTTCTGCAGTAGGCAATTGCCTTAAATATGTAGGCCTTCGCAAAGCGAATTGGATTAATGAGCATTGGAGTAATTTGACCTTTAGAGCAAAGGACAATTCATAGTATGCATGTGTTTCTTGTTATGTCCAGTAACTAACTGTTGTCAGACGTTTGGTTTTACAGTCAGTCTTTCTTCAAACCATGTTTTTAAATGCAGCATCCTGCTTCTTTCAGGAAAGGTCTTACAAAAAACGTCTTCTCTTTTCCAAGCAGTCAAAAAAGAGTTCATAAATGTTCTTCTTGTAAGCAGCAGATTGTTAGGGGTGGAAGGGGCAGCAACGAGAGCTGCTTTCTGCATCTTGGACATTGATACAAGTCCTTTCTCTAGCTCCGATGTCAGAACTGTTTCTTCCCAATCTGAAATTGGCATTAACTATTGCATCAGCTCAAGAACTTGCAGCATTACAGAAAATTTGATATTCAGGTGCAACAAGCACAATAAGTTTAGCAGTTCAAGTACAAGTTTTGCCTTTCTGTCTGCTGTGCTGCTTTGCAGTTCTACCTGTCAGCATTTAAACCTGAAATTCTTTAAGAACCAGTAAGTTCACATTTTACATCCATAAGAAAAATGCCGCGTACGTTGCTACAGCCCCTTCAGGGGAAGCCATGATAAAAGCAGACTGGTAGATGAAGGTGTTTTGGTTTGTTTTCTTAGCACTACGAAGCTGCCTATTTCTAAAGGAATTAATGTTATTGATGATGAATTAAAGCACTGCACAAACGGATGAGACAGTGCAGTTCAAGCACTGTTTTTTACTCTGTCATGTGATAAAGACATTTAGGTTTTATCATCCTTCTGCTATCAAGGCAGATATTTTGGAAGAGAAAAGTAATCTCTAGCATTATAGACTCCTGATAATTGATATATGAATGTATATTTTAATGTGATTAATCTAATAATTAAACCAAATGCATATTGAACCAAAGATCTAGACATAGATACTGAAAAGCACCTTGCACGTGCTAAGTCTTTGACGCAATTATTAATACATGTGCTTCATTAGAGAGCAAAAATACTGTCCTGCAGAGTTTAGCAGTTTGCTTCTATCTGCTGTGAATGACAGAAATTCCTGTATCTCTCTAGCTCCTAGTATTTACATCAATTACTTGAGAAAAATACCTATCTTGAGTTTTCTAATTTTCTTGTTTGCTTCACTGACAGCCGGGATACCTGTTCTTAATCTGTTATACAAGCAAGTGATGTCTTAAGAGGAGTCCCAAACTAGAAAGTGACTAAGCTTAATAAACATGTAGATTTTTGTAGAGGGTATGGTCTGAAAACGATAACTCCCTGGGCATGCTCCCCTTCTAAAATAAATATTCAGATGCAGATAGGGTCAGTGTTAAAAATTCTCTCTAGGCTATTTTTCTTCAAGAAGCTTTGCTGTTTATGCTACAATGCTTTTTTTTTTTTTCCTTCTGTATGTCCCAGCAAAAAATGTCCAGTTGGTTTAAGCATTGAGTATTTTCCTCACAGGAAGTACACAAGACAACATCAGCAACACGCAATAATATAATTACTGTGTTGAATAGTGACATAACTTGTTTAATGACAATTAGTGCCTTTGGCATCGTTATCGTTATCTGTGTATTTTCTTTAGAACAATGTCTTTCTTGTGCAACTTCTAGTAAAAAAAATCTTTTCACACCAAAGTTTGGGCTCCAATTTGGGGTGTATCTGGTGTCTTCAGGACACCTAACTCTGAATGTAACAAAATGGTTGAACTTCAGTTTTTAAACCCACAATAGTTTCTTGCAGCTGATTCAAGACACCCTGTGGTAAAGAACAGAACTTGGGAGATCTTGACTGGACTGCACAGTTACTTCAATTCTTACTTATCCGTACTAATAAAAGGAAAAAACATCCACCTTTTTAAGGAAAAATCATTAAAACGCAAAGTTCCTTTTTGTCATTATGTGTAATCTACAAATTAAAAAGTTTGAGGGCATATAAGCTTAGCTGTTTTCTGAACAAGATACCTGAATCTGTGCAAACGTGAATCAAAAGTTCTGTTGTGAGAAAAAGGGATCTGACTCTAAGGTATGTGAAGAAGAGCTGATATTAAATGAAATAAGAAACCATGATTTTCTATATGTTTGTTGTGTTTAAGAATGTTTTAAATTAACAAGTTGGGTTTTTTTAAACAACAGACTTATGAAATATTTTTTTTTTAGCTATTATAAAATAACAATACAGTAATTTCTTGCTTGAACAGCCTTCAGTGGCCTATGTACATACTACACCAGGCTTACCTTCAGGCTGGGAAGAAAGAAAGGATGCAAAGGGCCGTACGTATTATGTCAATCATAACAATCGAACCACAACATGGACACGGCCCATTATGCAGGTATGAAGATCTGTTATAATGCTCAATTTAAATAGCAAACACTTAGCTTGTATTGAGTATAATGTCAGTTGAAGCAGCTCTTCAGAACTCTGAAATTTTAAAAAAAAAATCCTAAGAATTGTCATGACAACTCAGGACAATCATAAAAAGTTGATTGGGATTTTTTTGTTACTACTTTTAACTATATTAAGGTGCAGATTAAGTTGATTGCTATAATGGAAGGAATTTACAGAGAGGTACATGTGAACTAATAACAGGAGGCAAATGCATTCTTAGGATTGAATCTGAAAGTTGTGTTGATCTATTAATAGTATCATACGTTATTTGCTTTTCCAATGGAATTAAATTAAATACTTGATCTTTAGGAAAGTATATTTAATATTTTGATGATAATAGTAATAATAAAAATAAATAAATAAATACATCATTTTTTAAGTGTCCTAACTCTGGATGATCTGTGTTTCTGACAACTTGCTAACTTAGTTTTCCTTCTGAAATAGCTTGCAGAAGATGGCATGGTTGGGTCAACAGCAAACAGCAGCAACCATTTAAGCGAACCCCAGATAAGACGGCCTCGTAGCCTCAGTTCACCCACAGTAACTTTATCTGCTCCACTTGAGGTGAGAGACGCTGTTACCAACAAAAATCACTTATGTCTGACGTCTCATTCATTGTAACTTCTTATTTCCTTTTTAGTTACACAACACAGCCACTTTTCCCTGTTACTGATTTTGCCATAATATATTGCTGTTTTCTTTAGCAGTTTTCTGTCTGGATCTTTATATTGTACAACAGTATTACTTAACTTTTATGGTCATTGAATGATGTAATATATATGTGATTATTTATTTTGGTCAGCTAAAACATAATCTGTGTGCATGTCTGAAATACATGTTGTTGTGACTCCCTTCAAGTGCTCTGAGTGTATAAAATCAGAAATTTTTTTTTAAGTTGAAACATTTATTGTGATGCTGATATCTTTGAAAATAATACACACAATTGAGTTTGGAAAATCTTTGAATTAAGATACTGATTGCATTTTATATTCCTTGTCTTTCAAAAGGACATTTAATTTCTTTTAAGTATCTTTAAAAGTAATTCAGAACAGTGTTGAATGATGTTCACTGCAACATATCTGAAGAATAACTGAAGTGGCTTCTTACGCAATCAAAGACAATGTGTGTTTTACTTCTGAAAGTGTGATTAAAACTCTTGAATGAGTTAAACATGGCTGTGTTGAGGAGAGTAAATTCTTAAAAATTTCTTCTTCAGACTTAAAGTGTGGCATCTTATTTGCCCTCTCTCACTGTCTGTTTCCTACTTGTGTCCCCTTTGCCCCTGCAAAAGTTTGCCAAGAATCGAGTGAAGATTGTAATATTTAGTTCATTTTATGCATCGTTCTTCTTTGTTCCTTATACTGAAAAGTACTCAAACTATTGAGCAAATTGTTAAACAAAGGTAGGATTATTGGACAGATTGTAGTGAGGTGATTATGGTTCATATTTAAAATAAATTATCTCTACTTATATGTAATTCAGATAAACCTTTTAACAATGAACTACTTAAAACTACCCTTGCCATTGTTAATTTTGAAGACCAAATTTACTGTAATTTAAATAAATTAAATCTAAAAATTCTGAGCATCTTAACCAAAACATTAAGGGCATTCCTCTCCCTACTGACATTTTAAACAGTTGAGCTGGTGGAATTCACTGACTAAGCATCTGAAACTTGAGTTTCTCAGGGCGATAAGCTAACTTTTAAGGGCAATAACCTGTTCCATAGCTACAAAACCCGTATTCCGTTCACTTCAGAATATTCAACTGATCAGTTTGGTGGTTAGTTTGTTCAATGCTGAGAAACCACAAGGGTGCTGAAGAGAACAAACTTGTCTTCTTATACCCACCTCTGAATTAATTTTTTCTTTTTAAAAAGTAAGGTTGTAGACTTACTAATATTAAAATCTTAAAGGATACAACTACTAGAAAAAAAAGGAGTTCAACTTTTTAGAAGCTACTTCCTTTGTTTAAATAGTTATTTTATTGTAAAATGTTCAACTTTTTTGTGTACAAGACATATGGAAAGCTTTTATTTAATGCAAGCTATTTTAAATACTGCTTTTGAACACTGTAATCTAACTGCATTTTCTATCCAAATGCAGCACAAAACAAGCCACAAATAAAGCTAGAATAATTTTGTAAATATCCATGTTGATGCTTCATTTTCTAATATAATACTCAAAAAATAGTGATTAAATGTAGGCTAAGTTAGAGAATTGCCAAAATAAGAATACATGGATTTACTGAATCTTAATAATTAGTAAAACAAGAAGAAAACAAACTGTTACATCAGCTAACAAGAGCATGTTTTTGGAAAGTAACTGAAAAGTACAAATGCAAACAAGATTTAAACATGGTACTTAAGTCTTGTTTTCCGATTGTGATAGTCTGTATTTTCAAAGGTGAGTAAATCTGGATCAAATTCTGCAAGCTGTTTAGGCATCTAACTGTGCAGTTTCCCAGAAAAATTTTAAAAAAAACCAAACACATCATGTAACTCCTGTTTTTAACCAATAGGCATTGATCAGTGAAGCAGTTTTGTGGCTGTGATCATTTATTTGTATAAATAAATAAATAAAAACCAACAAACAAAAAACAACTATCCAAAATCTGTAATTGCAAACCTCCATTTATTTTAGGAGCTTGTTTTAAGTTCGTATTTAAATGTTTTGTCTGAAGTTATATTTGAGAGATGCATTGAAAAGTGGGTAACATTGCCTCACATTTGGGATACTCTCTTGCACCATGAAGCACGAAGCAATGCTTTTATTTTTTTCTTCGTAAAATGAAATATTGACATGTACAGGGCAGCTGCAGTAAAATATATAATCAAATATAAATACTGTGGACATTATCATTGCAGAGGGAAGTGATAAAACACTGTGTCCTTCACAGCAAAAAGCTCTGTAAGTTATAAGGAGCAGACTTTAGCTAAGTAAGTTCTAGGAAATCAGTCCCAGCACTTAATTCTAGTATTAATTACATCTGGGATGAAAACTATTTGCTGTGATACCAAGTTTTACTTCATTTTACAGTATTGAGTGACATTTCACAAATCTTAATATTTTTAATTCTCTTCAGGGTATCAAGGACTCCCCCGTGCGCAGAGCAGTGAAGGACACCCTTTCCAATCCACAGTCTCCACAGCCCTCACCTTACAACTCTCCTAAACCACAACACAAAGTTGCACAAAGCTTCCTTCCTCCTGGCTGGGAGATGCGAATAGCACCCAATGGCAGGCCCTTCTTCATTGATCATAATACTAAAACTACTACATGGGTAAGAGAAATTCTAGATAATGAATTTTAAATCAGCTGTCGTGTTTTAAATGTGTCTATCTTTGTTTTCCTGCCTGTATACCCTCCATTTTATTGTGGCATTTGTCTTGTCTTTAAGGGGGGATTTGTCAACCTAACTTTAAAAAAAAAACTGATGTAGGAATCTCGCTGAATCCTCCATGCAGTCATGTACAGTAGCTGTAGACTTGAGCAGCTAATTTCCTGAAATGGCTATAGTGCTGCCATTGCTGCATTCAGAGAAAGGAAAACTTACTTGTTAATATCCTCTTAGATTTTGGCGCATTTGTACATCATATACCATGCAATAGTGTTCTGCATTTTGTATTTGACCTTTTTATACTTGAATAAATCATTGCATACAAGTACTGGCCTTTAAATTCCCCAAATTTGAGTTTTAGAGGCATACAGTGCAATGGAGATTTGGATTGTTGTTTAGTTTGAGACTGTCCATAATTGTATTGTATTTCACTGTGACTAGCACTGCTTTTTTATTAATATAATGTACGTTCATCTTCAATTAACAGAATCCATTTTATTATTTGTTTTATGTCATGAGGATCCATTTTTCAGTAATTCTGCAACTTTGGACAACAAATTGAAGAAATAAAATTACACTAGGAAAAAATGTCAAAGACAACCCAGCATTTCACATCATCATTGAAATATGAGTTGCACTTTAATTTGTTAGGTATCATTAAGATTCCCAGTGAGCACTCTTTATATGACATATTTTTAATGGTGGTTTTTAATGGCGTTCCCAGGTGCGTGTGGGTAAATTGTGTGTATGGAAATCTCAAGCACTTTTTGTCTAGATTTGTCTTCTGTGATCAATTTTACTTGCCCCTTTTTACCTCATTTGGACATTGATGTTATAATACCTATGCATTAATAAAAATGTAAGCAGCTCATTTTCATTCTTTTTGAGCCTTTTTGTGACAGGATGGCTTATTTCTTTTATGTTTTTAAGAGCCAAAAATGTGCGTATGTATCTAAATGCCACATAGAGGAGTGCATGCATTCCTAAGAATAGGGCTGTATTTTTTGAAGCATATCTCTGGATAGACCACACTTAATGGAGTCGAAATCTTATATCATTCTAACTAACTCTTAACATTTAAAAAATCATTTCAATAGATGAATCCTAATAAAGTATGTGACACATCCAAATACTAAATGTTCTATCACTTTCATATGTTTTGTTTTATATGTTTTATTCTCAAAAAAAAGAGAATAAAAGAATAACTGTAATATAGGAAGATTTCTTTTCCAGATAATTCTGTGTTTGACTTAGTATGTAGATCTAACTTGATCTGTTGGATTTACAGTTCTATATTTCTGTTACAGGAGGATCCACGACTGAAATTTCCAGTGCATTTGAGATCAAAAGCATCTTTGAACCCTAATGATTTGGGCCCTCTTCCTGTAAGTGATAATGTGTATGTATTTTAATATATATCTGCTATCTTATATGAGATGATCTGTTATTGCAGTCATATATTGTATGTGGACACATACGTTGCTGTCATCACTTTTCTGAAGATATTAAAGCTATGTTTACATACAGCACCAAAAAGCTTTATTGTGATCTGTGAATCGGTCAGGCTCTTTGAAGCCAGCCCACAGTATTTCTGAAATGATTGCATGTTTCTTTCCTTATCTAAAGCTTTGAAGAAACTTACCTTGTTTTTATCTCTGATTATGTGCTTTTAGATAATTACCTGTTGCTAGAGCAGATTGTTCAAAGCGAGCGCTATTAATGTACCACCATATATTGGCATTCAGAAATCTAAATAAATTTTGATTTTTCAATTAAACTTCCATATTCTGCAGAGAAAATTACCATCTTAACGTCAGAAGTTTTGTCACACTTGTAACCAAAGTATAATATTGATTTACAGCCATGTCAAATACAGAGCTTTGCTTTGTTTTTAAAAAAATGCATCCTTAATGGCAGAGACTAGTCTATGAAAGCTAGCACTTTTTCTAAGGTGCTGATTTTTACGGTGTAGTGTTAATTCAGCTCGTTGCCTCATATATACTAAGCATACTTCTGAGAAATTGCCATTGAAATTGTACTTGCAACACTGGAAACCTTAGTGACGAGCCACTAATTGTCACCAGCACTCTCAGTGCTCCAGCATGTATTACGGACAAGCTGTCTGCAAACAGCTGTGCCAGCAGAAGAGGCTACTGTCCCACCCTACAGGACATGGCAGGTTAAATTATTTTAGTTTTAAACAGTTTGAATAACAAGTCTTTAATCCTACTCATTTTCATTGAGCTGGCTTACAGTTTACTTAGATGAACCACTCTGCCAGCAGACCAAAATGAGTGCTGCTTTTGGGCAAGAGTGGTGACAAATGCTACCTTTGGTGAGGGGCGATAACCTCTGTTACCATCTATGATCAGACATCCTCCTCTAAAACATCCTAAAATCTCACTGCCCTTGTCTTGATTAGCAAAAAGTTTTGCCTTGTATTTAAATCAAGCTAGGCCATTGGTCAGGCCCAGTGTCTTGAATCACTGATTAGATTGAAAACTATGCGCAGCTGAACATATTTATTATGATGCATTTCCTGGTTACAACACAGCAGTAATGCAATTTGTCTTTAAGAAAACAGCTGTGGAAGTAGCTGTTCTTTTGCAATTCTTCAGATACATTAAGCATGCATTAATCTCGAGGACACATTGCTTAGATTGCATGGGAGTAACTGAAGGGCCAATTTACAATTTATTCTGTTAAATTGCAAGAGGTAAAACATGCAGTGAAATCAGGATAGCTTGACATGAATCACTAAAAATATATAATCAGTAACAGATTTAAACTCAGTTAAACAGTCTATTTTTGAGTGAGGTAAGAATGACTACAGAATTTAACAAGAGTTTCTCAAAAAAGATGGAAATGAAATCTTTTCTCATCTATGTTTTATAGAAGCTCATACAGGTGGAGCATACAGGTGGAATGTAGAGCGTACAGGTGGAATGAGTGCTAGACTGGACAGCATTGCATATACTAACAGTGTGCCTCCTTTATTCTCCTTTCTATACTATAATCATTTGGAAAATGAGAAAAGGGAATGGATAAAAAGGGTAGAATTGAGGACTAGGTTAGACATTCTTGTCCCCCAGTAATGGGATCCTGGCTTACATATTTACTGTAAATAACCCACATGTGTTTCAGAAGTAGAAGCATAAACCTCAAACCTAACCAATGATGGACAATCTGTTCTTTGTGATCATTTCCTCATAGTAGGAAATGGTTATAAACCCTGATGCAAGAAGTTTCCATTTCCAAGCTTTAAAAAAATATTTCCTGTATTGGATACAGTTACCTGTATAAATAGCCAATTCTTTGAATCTTCCTAGTTTTTTGGCCTTCACATAATGCATCTGTGATCATTTTGTGTTTTCTACCTCACGAGCATCTATCAGACAATTTAAGTAGGCATGGATAATGTATTGCTTCATGATGTGTGAGAGTGGTAGTATTTCACTTATTTTCTCTCTCTTTTTTTATTTCCCAATTCCAGCCTGGTTGGGAGGAAAGAATACATTTGGATGGAAGAACGTTTTATATAGACCATAGTAAGTAAGCATTCAGGTACTACAGCAAATAGACAAAGGGAGGTAATAAATATTGAAGTGAAAGCTTTATAATTTTACTCTTCATTTAGGAAGCCAGGTGTTGATATGTGGAGACATTGATACCAGAGACTTAGTGCCCTCATACGGTACTGTATATTCACTGAAAGCTTGCTTTTAATTGGCTCATCAAGCTTTGTCCCTCTCTGACTTGTGAAGCATTAACATTTCTTCTTTGTGGTTTCTTTTGTTCTTGTTGATATTTTGGATTCGTTGTTGTTGTTGTTGATGATCCCGTGGCTTATTTGCACTTAATAAATTAAAATACACACTAGGAATAGAAAATAAGATGAGAAAAGATCATATAGCCACAACTCCACATATAGGCAGTGGAGAAATTAGCACTCATAAGTACTCTTCCCTCTTCTTTAAGAAGGTCTTGTGGCAGTGCTGATTCTGATCTTATTTCCTATTTATAGCATGTTAAATTGCACCCAGCCCATTAATATTATGCAGTTCTGTTAGTGAAGTTCTAGTGTAAGTGATGTTTCATTGTAGACTTGTCTTATTACAGCATCTCAGAACTACTGTGTGAGTTTTTGTTGTTGTTTGAAAATAAAGCAGCTCAGAAAGGTTGGGTTGCTGCTGCTTCTTCCTTCTTTTTCTTTTTTTTTTAAAGACTTCAGCTGGACTTTTTAATGAGTTATTTCTACCGATTGCGTAACTTTCACAGAAATAGCTAACTCACAAAACCATTAGAAGAGGGTGCATATGCTATGCAAAACTTAAAGAATGGACATCTTAAACTATTAGACATATTTGATAGCATTATGTTTTTCCTTCAGTATCAGTAACACTGACTCCTATGCTTATCTGTAGTTGTATATATGGCATTATTAAATCATTATTAAAAGACTGTCTCTAAAGTAATATGAATTTTGAAATTGTAAAAATGGTTTGAAATAAAAAATAGAAATAATACACTCGTCAAGCACAAGATTAACCTCTTTCAAACATCAGTACAGAATTATTATTCTTTAAAGCTTCTGTAATTGTTTTTCCCAACAGATATCTGGAAACTTAAATATGGCAAATAAATATGCCACTGAAGAGTCACAGAATAAAACTGTCTTATTTAAAATATCTATATAATTGTTGAGCCTCCCAACCTCCCCTAAAAAGTTTTAATTTTTCACTCTCCTAAATCTACTTCAGCATGTGTTAGTCTCTAAAAGTAAATGGAATGTTAAAGTTGTACGTCAATTAGAATTCCCCAAAGAATTTATAATTGTTATAAAACTAAATTTATCTGCATCTGAAATCTCTCTCTAATCCCTCTTTTGCCCTGAGTTTTTTTAGCTTTTTATATAGCAGTTTTTACAAAAGTTTAGAGGGTTATTTTATAATGCTGCTTGTTTGCAGCAAATATCTTTTTGGTCTCAATCTGGTGCCACACCACTACAATTACAAGTGGACTGTAGGAGCAGAGGTGGTGCCAGTGGTATTACAGTGGACACGTTGCAGCTCCATTGCGATAATGTTGTGCTCACTATTTAGGGAATGACTGCAAACAGCATTCAGTGCTCAGTGATTTGGCTTGAGCAATCTCAATAACAGCATTTGTTTTCACAGTATCGATAAGGAAGCGCAATGACATTTGACCATAATGATAGGTTTGTGACAGAGCCTGCTGACTCTTACTTGTTTCATGGCTAACTTGAGAGCATAGGCTGAAATCAGTCATGGGTGCGATCAGCTGTGCTCACCCTAAATATGCAGGTCTCGCTAGTCCATTACTATGATAAACTGGCCATCATTTCAGTCATTCTCTGCTAAAGCGATTAGTTAAAATGCAACAAATGTAGTCAGTTTCATTATTAGAATACAATATAAATGTTGAAAGTGTTAACAGATTCAGCTGCTATTAATGTTCTGATTCCCCAGATAAATTTTGTAATTTTCTGCATAATTATCCAATACCGATGTCCTGTTTTTGAAACGTTTTTCTCATCCCTGAGAGAACTAATGCAACCAGCACAGAAACCTCCTCTTGTGGAGCAGTACAAATTGCTATTAAGCATGCCATATAACCTAGTAAAGCAAAGTACTGTTAAAATAATTTAGGTATTACTTGTAACGTAGTAGCCTGAAAATATAATCTTTTTAGATTTAAACTGTAAACAGTTCTAATTTCTGCATCAGTCAATCTTTTAACAAAAAATACAGTCTCAAGTTCTCCATGATTGGTCCTTAGCTAGCTAAGTCAACATTATTTGCCATCCATTAATAAAATAGTATTCTCTATTCTTTGTAGCATGCATATACTTCTGCATTTCCTAGGTGCCTTGTAGGAAAATATGATCTACCTCTTGGAAGGTATCATGAAGGAAAACACAAAGGTTTTCCAACCATATGCAGAACAGTTATCAATGGTTCACTGACAGAGGGATGGATATATTAAATGGGTTCCCCTCAAAGTCTCTCTTGGATCCACCATTTTTCAGTATACTCATTAGTGATTTGAACAGTGAATTAGGGGGAATGTACACATTAGTTCAGCAGAAAACAACAGTGTTGGAGAGGTGAGAGGTGCTCACTGAGCAGGATGAGAAATCAGAATGAGTCTGGCAAATTGCCGCTGTAGTGTGAAATAAGATGCTGTTTAATAAGAATTGCAAAGTATTACTCAGAAGGGGAATAATTAGCAGAATTTTGATTGAAAAGGGCATGAAAAATATCATCAACGGAACAGGAGTTAGCTCATCCTTTGATGTATCAACAGGAGTGTCTTAAGTAAGACCTGAAGTAATTCTTCTAATCTCATCAGCACTGGTAATGTCTTAGCTATGATAATACGGTATCTAGCATGGGGTCTCAAACTTCAAGAAAATAGTGGACCACTTGGAAAGGGACCAGAGGAAACAGAGGAGAAGAAGGAATCCTCAAAGGTCCTGGAGCCCAATTTATGAGGAAAGACAGAGTATCGTATTTGTGTGAAAATTCAAGAGAAGTGATAGATTTTCGAAAACGTGCTACAAAAGGATTGAATTTGTGATCCACATCCACTTCGGATAAGACAGAGAATCTTGAGCTATGATTCCAGGTAGAGTGGTCAGGTTAGACCCTTCTGATTGTTGGGGCATTTAGCCCTTATAATATGAAGTCACTGACACTGTAATACTCTGAAAAAAATTTAGACAAAGATTTGTTGGTAACATCGTACACTTTTAAGTATGTAGGGCAATAAGAAAGAACTGCCAAACTTGCAGTCATTTCCAGTTCTATTATCTTTGATTTCATAGAAAATTATCACCATGATTTGTGGCTGTCAATTTCAAGTAGGTATAAGAAATGAATTGGTATAAACCCAGTAAACTTTGCAGAAGGAAGTTTGACTGAACAAATTGAAGCAAGATGAAAAGGGCCAGGTGAGGCGTCACGCCTTTATGGCAGGCTTTGGTCTGTGGATCTCATATGGTTTCTGGAGCTGTCAGTCTAACAGCCTTCCTCCATAATTTTGATAAGCACTAAATAGACTTAATGTGTAAAGGGAAATAAAATAGTATTTTAATATTAAATTAACTGATAGATCAAATTTCTTGAAGCATACTTGTGATTTTTTTAAATTTTCTTCAGTTAACATTTAATGAATGTCACCTCTCAAATCCCAGTCCATTTTAAAACTAGCTTGAGATGCTCAAAACTTACAGGTCTTTTCCAACTGTAGAAACATGGAATATACTTATGTCTTAATATAAGTGGATTTGGTTCTTTGCTTTTACCTATAGTAGTCATAAAAACAATTTCCTTGAAACTTAGTGTGTTTATTCCCAAACCTAGCAATTACAAAACTTAAAATCTGGACTACTATCTTAATACACAGTTCATAAATCAAAGCAGTGCATGTAAAAAATCAGATGTATTATTATTACCCTTTCAGTGCAGGAGACGGATGTCTTAAACCTTGCCATTGCAGATGGCATCCAGTTTGGTTTTTCGAGCATTGTCTTATTGTTGCAACATCATCATTTTGTTGTGATTCTGTTGTGTTCAGAATCTTGTGAGGGGCAGTTGTCTGGAGTCAGGGAGAGTTTCACCGTGGTCCTCTATAACCTTACCATATCACCCTCCTGGTGCTCTTAAAAGCAGTTGAAAAGAACTGGATTCTGTCGTGTTACTGCCAAAATCTCCTTTGGTCAAAACTGAATGATCTTTTATACCATAACTGTGTAATTTTGCCTCCCTTAATGGTCCTACAACCTTTTAATTAAATCAGTGTTTAGTTTTTTTTTTTTTTTTAAAGAGATGTTATGCCCTCCAAATTTAAATACAGACTGTCTTTTATAAGTATTACATTTTGGCTATCTTTATGTAAAATTTCAAAAAAGTAAACTTAGTCTGTCATTTGACAAGTTTTTGGGTTCCTTTACCTTTCAGGCATGAAGTCTGTGTATTTCTAACATGACTTGAATCCAAATCCATGTTCAAATAGAACATGTTTATTACTACAGACGTTGAAATAAAAGCAGTGTGAAATAAACACACTGGATTCTGTTGTAGTTTTGCATTTTTGAATGAGTGTTTTCAACTAAACAGTGTGATGGGGTTTTGATGTAGATGGGTGAATGCAGCCTCTTCTAACCCTGAAATACTAAGTTGTGGAAATGGTAGGGAAAACAGTCGTAGGGAGAAAAAAACAACATAAATTCACAGTGTGGTAACAGAGAAGTAATGATATAATTTCTTTTATTATTTACAGATAATAAAATTACCCAGTGGGAAGACCCCAGACTGCAGAACCCAGCAATTACTGGTCCAGTAAGTACTGCTATGGGTTTTTTCATTAAATGCCGTGACTCACGTACTTTTGGTATAGGCAGGAGGCATTATCAAGCAGCAGGTCATGCCTGTTCTCCAGATCAGGTCAGACTGTGCCTGATGAACACACCAGGAAGCAGGACCTCTGCCTTGCATTGCCTTTTTCTGACGGACATGGGAGGCTCAGGTGCCAGCTTTTGTGAGTCTGCAAGGGCAGGGGGAGCTGCCATCATGTGACAGCCTGCCAAGGTGCCCCAAAACTGATGTCTCGTCCCCGGCATTCAAATGGTTGTACGCTCTGTGGACCCTATTTTGTTTCGCACAGGCTGGAGTGCCCTGGGGACTCTTCCAGCCTGCCAGCTGCCAGTGGTCCAAAGCAGTAAGTGGCCTAATTAGGAATCACTGGAACATTTGGAACTACAGTGCTGTGCACACTATTCCCAGGTCAGACAATAGATTTGAATTTGATGAGTTTGGAGGCTTTCCTAGCAGAAGCTACCTAGCTAGGGAATTTTTCCAGGGGTACAGTATGATTCCTGTCTTGCAGCCGTTAGCATGTGAAGTTGGCGTCTGCCTTGGAATGTTTAGGAAACATTCTTCATCATTAGATATGACAGTAAATTGCAGAATACCTCTGTTTCAGCGGGGAGGAAGGGAAGGCTCTTCAGAAGGATGGAAACTCTTTTGTTTGGCTGGTTTTAATTTTTTATATTGTTGTATTATTTCTGAGTGAAGCTCCATCCCTTCGGAAGCTGCATAGCTAAATAGTCTGAATGGTGTTTCATGCTCTGAAACACAGGGAAACCCATCATTTCTCATTTGTTCCATTCTTCTGCAACACGAAGCTTTCTGCTTCGTGATCATGATGAATGTGGTTTCTGAAAGAGATCAATTACTGATATGATCCCTGGCTGAAAAATAACAAAATTAAGATTACAACATGGTTTTTGCTGTTGTTTTTGCTGCTTATTGTGATGATGAAATTCCAGGACAAAAGTAGTAGAGTGATATCTTTAGCTTACTTTTGACATCCAAACAGATGAATTGGGGGAAAAAATGTGATTTTAAATAAATTACATCTAAAATAATGTAGGTATAAAATATTCTTCAGATTTTTTCTTTCTCCACACTTCCTGATATTATAAATTACTTCGTATGGAACAAACAGTATTAAATCTTTGCATTTTATCTTTTATTCCTCCATTGTGGAGGAATGTATGTTTCTATATTAAGCTATGTGAAGGGCACGTCTGCTCTGAATCGTAAGTCAGAAGATCTTGGAAATTTCAGACCAGGTTCTTTGTGCTGAATCCTACATTGCAAGGTTTTAGGGACATGTATAGGATAAATGTTCATATTTACCCATTATCTGGGTCATTACTGACAATAGAATTTTACTGAGCTGAGACACTGTGCTATTAATTTTTTTGATTTCTGGATAATAAAAGGGTGTTTCCACTTGGTACAGGAGAGTTGTGACTGTGGATTCAGAGTGTAAAAAAGACAAATATCGGGTCTATCAGTTTTAAGAGACATAAAACTTACTGCAGATAAACTAAGACATTTCAGAATATCAGCCTTAAATACACGCTTTTACTTTAATATCAAATTTTCAAAACATCAAATATATAGAGTGATTCTTTGACCTTTTTATGCTAGTTTATGCCATTTTATGGTATTCTGAGTGATTAGACTTCCAACCCTAAGATGTTTCCAGGTGCCAAGAATACCGTTTTATTTTGGATAAATCCTTGGGATTTTTAAGGGTCTCAGGACACAGCAGATTAACTACTGCATGGAGTAATTCCAATTGTTCTTGTTTATTAATAAGATTAATAATAACCACTTGTTTGAACATAATTGCTTTTGGAGTGATTTACCTATTTAGCATGCACTTAATGCTTGAGGTACTAATATACAGTATGCTATACAAATGCTTAATTTTTATTTTCCCAGAAATGTTAAGCATAAATGAGAAAGACTATCTGGGAAATTTTGTTTCAAGATAATAAGGGTCAATCATGATCCAATTAAGTAAATAAGTTATTTGTGTTTGTGTGTGGTTTTTTTTTATTTTAAAGAGAAAGTAAGATCAAATCCATTTTACAGCCATATGAGCATTAAGGATTCATCTTGATGCTTTTAATAGTATTTTTGGTGCCATGACAAAAACAAAGAACTATTTAAATTGCATTTCACATTGCATTTAAACAATGGAAACATGTTGAAAGGTTATTTAATGGCTATAGTAAAGTCATATTATCATCAGAGTAAAATGATTTAGTTTGATTTCTTTAAAAATTTTTCATGTCTCATCGTGCAGAAGAGAAAACTCACATAGAAATATTTCCACCTCCCGCTCTCACCTACTTTCATGAAGTAGTCATGAATCTACTTCAAGACCAGCCCATACCTTCCGTCCCCCAAAATCCTAGTCCTCACCCAGAAATTGAACTTGAACCAGAGCTTTGCAATTTGTGATTCAGCCTTCAGGGAACAGAGAATGTAACTTTCGCAGTCCTGTGGAATTCAAAATCGTTCTTTTGTTCCCAAGAAATCACACTTTGTTTGTTTAGCTAGCTGTTTTACTAGGTCTACTCTTTCATCTTGAAGGAACAGTAGAGCAAAGGAAAGTAAGGATATAGTTGGAAAATATTATGATCAAGGCCAGGAAGACTTTTTTCTTTTTTTCCTTTTTTCCAAGGCTCTTTCCAAACGCTCATTAAATTGATGTTGTATATGGTGTCAAAAAACAAGAGAATTAAGGATTCTTAATTCTCAAAAAATTGTCAAAAAACCCACAGAGAATTAAGGAATCTTACTTAAATACATAGCAGTTATTTGTTAGAGCCAGACCCGTACCTGTCATAGTATCACTTTTCCAGCCTATTCCTGTTCATTAGTTTAATTAACAACTTTGGTTTATGGTCGTTTCATCTGAAGGCTGAATAATGTATGTTGCAGTCATAGGACTGGCAATCAGCAGTATGGATGGCTCTTATCTGTACTCCTGCTTGATGGCTGATGCACTTCAATCCTTTTGTGTCTGGTACTACTTGGTACCTTAAAAGGCTTGGCCTTTTTGGACTTTCATATGTATTTCCTATCTGGTGCTAAAGCAAAGGAGTCTGATGAAGACAAGTAGGTAGCAGAAAAGAATACTGTCATCTTGCTGACTACTGTGATGGTCAGTGAGTGGCGCACGGATCAACATCAAACGTGGCAATCTTCTAGCTTAGTGTCAAATCCTTGCTTCCCTATACGATATGTTAGCAGGAAAGAGAAGCACAGTGTTAAAATAGAAATGTCTTTCAAAACTCTGAATGACAGAGCTTGTGAGAACCTTTGTTGAACCTTGATTTGTGCATGCCTGGAATCATCCTGAGAGGCCTTTCATGTATCTGGAAATCCACGTAAATATTTCGGAGACCTCTGGCATTTGTTAAGGGGTGTTTACATATGCCAGAAACCAATTTCTAGCTCTGCTGATTAATGTAATTCTACCAACCTTCACTGTACCTTTTTTTTTTTTAAACTTCTAAAATTGTTCTGTTATGCTGCTGTTACTTAAAAATGTGGTCTAACACACCAGCAGCTGCATTGAGTGAGTATTCAGATAAATATTACACAGTGACTTGTACTTGGTTCAAAATAATGTTAATTTGTTTATGAACTGCTTTCAGATTCTGGATTAAAGACATTATGAAGGTGTATATTTTCATTATAACTAATTTACAAAATAGTTCTGATACAGTTTGATGATAGTTTGATAACTATTAAGAATTAGATTCATTCACATTGGGCTGAAAAGATAATTTCTAGTCACGGACATTCCCCTGCCTAGTTAACGCTGCTGTGTAGGTATACATTGTGTCTTGCAATTTTTGGAGGGCAAACAGTGTTTGTTGTTAAAGTCATAGCTTTACTAGAGCCCCTTACCTTGTTCTTAGGTTCATTTTCAAAATTCTTTGAATTTTGTGTCTTTTTAGTAGCATCTAACAATGCTTAGCACTTTCAGCTGTGCAAATCCATATTCTGTGGTAACACTAGTCATTTTTAAAATTCAGTATCATGTGGCATGCTCATTATTTCCTAATGAGATACATGGATGGCAGCAATACATTCCATATTTTTTTGTCTGTGTTAAAAATTTGTTTTGCTCTTTATGTTCCTAAAAGAAGAAAAAAAAATGAGGGTAAGTAGTTGATAAACAGAAGAACGGGGTCAAAAGTTTTCATACCTTTTAACTCAAATTACACACTGAGAAATGGGAAAATTTTGGCTGCTGTACTTCATGCATGGTGGGTTTTATTAGGTGGCCTATGGCATACATATGTAGATAGCATGTCTTTACATTTCGTTTTTGTTTAAATAATGTTGAAATATCAAACTGCTGAATAGCTGGAATAATCTGTATTTATGATTCTCTCTCTGATAGGCAGTTCCATATTCCAGGGAGTTCAAACAGAAATATGACTATTTCCGGAAGAAGCTAAAGAAACCAGTGAGTAGAAACGTGCTGCTTTGTGTTGCAATCAATTATGCAATGTCTAGGAGAAACAACACACTATCCCAAGCATAGATACAGAATGGTGGTGCATCTTGCTGTAACACTCTTGCCAATTTTTCTTGATTGTGCTACTCCTAAAGGGGTTGAGTAGGAACCAAAAAAACAAAGAAAAGTTTGAATTTGATTGATCTCGCAACAAAAACATTTACAAATCTGTAAGACTCACATTTTTCTGTATGAACGCAAAATCTAAGTGATGAGGCAGCAAGGAAGTAGCTATGATTCACTATTTCCCATTGCAACTGAGATTAATTGGTAGGTTAGTTTACAAGCCTTCAGGTTGAAAATACGCTTGAGGATTGATGTGTCTCCTTCATCTTCAACAGTGAAGGACTTTGAAGGGCAGAGCTGGAACAAGATGGCAGAGCAGAGCCCACAGTTGTGCTGGATCTGGCACAAGCTTCTGGCGTTCTTGTTCTGTGAAAAAAAGTATTTTCAGTAACATCTGTAATGTAAGCGAGCACTCAGTATTAGCTTGCATGTGATATTGACTCATAATTAACAGTAAACAGCCTTGCCAACACCAACTATAATTTGAAGAGGGACTTGCCAATGTCTTTACCTGTTTATTGATAGGTCCTTGAATTTTCACCTTGAGTTTGACCAGTGATTGCAGATAATAAGCACTGCAGTTGTCAGGAGAAAGCAAACCTTTTGAAACAGTTGTTTCCAGTCAATTTTATCAGGAAAACTATACATGGCTGTAACAGTCATGTTTATCTGCTTATTCAGTCTTCTTTCTACCAATTCTTAACTCAGTTCTCTTCTGCCTTTTCTGAATTTAGCTCCCTGGGCTAAATCATAATGGGCGTTAGACAGAACTTCTAAAACATTTTGGCAGCCCGATTCTCTGTTGTTTACATCTTTGCAATTCGGTTCTGTTGTGTGTATGGTACTGTAGGTGTTCTTGTTGTGAAACTCTTCTGGCCTTTACAGATATGTGAGTAAAGCGGTTGCATAAATCTTGTGCATTTTTTACCATTTTAAGCTAAAATGCCCTTAAAATAGAGCATAGTAATATCAATCATTTTCTCGTTTGTTTGTTTGTTTGTTACTTTTCTTGTTGTTTTCATTGTTTTGTCAAATATCATAGCAATCTCTGAACCACTATACTGGAACTTACTTAGTTCACTATATCAGAGCACTGGAAAACATATATAAGGGTAAACTTTATACATTGTATGTCTAATCTGTCATTTAGTTGCTACCACTGGTCAGTAATTTGCCTGAAGACTTATTTATTGAGACTAACAAGTATAATATAATCTCTGTTCATATAGGCTGATATACCAAACAGATTTGAGATGAAGCTACACAGAAATAATATTTTTGAGGAGTCCTACAGAAGAATCATGTCTGTGAAGAGACCTGATGTACTAAAAGCCAGGCTCTGGATTGAATTTGAGTCGGAAAAAGGACTTGACTATGGAGGTGTGGCCAGAGAATGGTTTTTCCTCTTGTCCAAGGAGATGTTTAACCCTTATTATGGTCTCTTTGAATATTCAGCCACGTAAGTGTCCATTAAAATATTTCCATTCATACAGGATATACATTAGATTTTGCATAAGAGGCAAAGTTACACTGGAAAATAGTTAGATCATCCTTCGTGGTTCATCAGTCAAATCTCTCTGTTCTGTACTATCATTTCTTTCTTGTTTTTCAGAGAACCTTTTAAATTGTCTTCGAAATCTTATAAAACGTTTTCATTGTTAAGACAATATTCAGTGTTGCCTTGCTTGCAGCAAAACTGCAATTTTTGAGGCTAGTAATAGTGAAAGGAGTGATGTCAGACAAAAGACTCTTTTTATGCCCTCCTGTTACATTGTAAAACACCTGCTGTCCAGAATTATAGTGCTCCTTTATAACTAGCTCATAAAACGGCTTCTCATTTACATTTCAGTGGCCTTACATAAGTTTAAATTTGGTTTTGTCCAATTTTAAAATCTTTGAGCAATGCATTAGTGTAAATGAGAGAGTAAGTCTCTTGCTTAAAGTACATTTGTTTTAATATGCTGTATGTAATTCCACAGTGTGTACTTAGCTACAGTGAGGATGGATTTCTTAATTGCAGGCAGTAGTTTTGATGTTTTTATGTCAATACCAAACGCACTTCTTTCTAAGTGTCGAATAGATTGTAAAGTAGATGAACAAAGACTGCATAATGAGAGTTTTCTCACATTTGTGTCTCAGAAAATACATGTTCTGCTGTTGAAGAGAAACACAACGTTAACAACATTGACTAGCACAGAATGCCTGTGTGTTAATAGAGTTCACTGGATAAACATTTGTTTTGAAATATTTCCACTTATGGGATATAGGTCACTGTAGATATTTTAAATATGTTATTTCATTTTAGGTTCAGAAATCTAACTAATTATTTTAAGAAATAAGGAAAAAAATCTACTTAAAAGCCCCATATCTTTCTTCACAGATTAAGAATATACGGCAAATTACAAATACTGCTTTTAGGCTAATGTCTTACTGTGACACACACTTTCACACGAGTCTTAACGCTTTGTTACGTTAAACTTTGTTTAATGCAAAGTTAAAAGATCTTTGACAGCTTTTTCCAATATCCTGGGGCTTAAGCATATTTCAGAGATGTTCTCTAGTATGTGCAGTTTAAGATGCTAGTAAGAAAACGTTCTTTATCCTAGGATGGTTGGACCACGGGCCTATGCTTAATTCCTCTTCAGTACCTTCAGATATTTCAAGAACTAAAAATAACTACTGCGAAAGAAAATCCTAAAATTTTAAGCC